ATAGACCAATGGAACAGAATTGAGAATCCAGACGTAAATTCATCCACCTATGAGCAGCTGATATTTGACAAAGGCCCAAAGTCCGTTAATTGGGGTAAAGACAGTATCTTTAACAAATGGTGCTGGCATAACTGGATATCCATCTGCAAAAATCTGAAAGAAGACCCATACCTCACAGCATGCAGAAAAACTAACTCAAAATGGATCGAAGACCTAAATATAAAATTGAAAATGATAAAGATCATGGAAGAAAAAATAGGGACAACACTAGAAACCCTAATACATGGCATAAACAGAATACAAACCATAAGTAACAATGCACAAACATCAGAAGAGAAACTAGACAACTGGGAGCTCCTGAAAATCAAACACTTATGCTCATCAAAAGACTTCACTGAGTCAAAAGACAACCTACAGACTGGAAAAAAAAATTTTGGCTACAACAAATCCGATCAGTGTCTAATCTCTAAAATTTACAAGATACTTCAAAACCTCAACAACAAAAACAAATAACCCAATTAAAAAATGGGCAAAGGATATGAACAGGCACTTCACTAAAGAAGACATTCAGGCAGCTAACAGACACATGAGGAAATGCTCACGATCATTAGCTATTAGAGAAATGTAAATCAAAATTACAATGAGATACCATCTCACCCCAACAAGGCTAGCATTAATCCAAAACACACAAAATAATAAACGTTGGAGAGGTTGTGGAGAGACTAACACTTATCCACTGTTGGTGGGAACTTAAAATGGTACAACCACTTTGGAAATTGATTTGGCACTTCCTTAAAAAGCTAGAAATAGAAGTACCATACAATCCAGCAATCCTACTCCTTGGAATATATCCTAGAGAAATCACAGCCATCATATGAATAGATACATGCACACCCACATTCACTGCAGCACTGTTCACGATAGCGTAAAGATGGAAACAACTGCAGTGCCCATCAATGGAAGAATGGATAAACAAATTGTGGTATATTCACACGATGGAATACTAGGCAACAATAAAGAACAACGATGAATCTGTGAAACACAACATGGAGAAATCTGGAAGGCATTATCCTGAGTGAATTTAGTTGGTCGCAAAAGGACAAATATTGTGTAAGACCACTAGTATAAGAACTCAAGAAAAGGTTTAAACACAGAAGAAAACATTCTTTGATGGTTATGAGGGTGGGGAGGGAGGGAGGGGGTATTCAATAACTAGATAGTAGACAAGAATTATCTTAGGTGAAGGGAAAGACAACACACACTACAGGGGAAGTCAGCACAACTGGACTAAACCAAAAGCTAAGAAGTTTCCTGAATACAATGAAACACTTCGAAGGACGGAGTAGCAGGGGCAGGGGTCTGAGGACCATGGTTTCGGTGGACAACTAGGTCAATTTGCACAATGAAGTTTATTTATTTATTTTTTTGGTCAACTCTTTTTTTTTTTTATTGTTGTAGTTAAATGAAGTTTACATTTCAAGTTAGTCTCCCATACAAAATTTTATACATAAATTGTTATGTGACCCTAATTGCTCACCCCATACTGCGACAGCACACTCCTTCTTTCTGCCCCTGATTCCCCATGTCCATTCAACGAGCTCCTAACCCTCTCTGCCTTCCCATCTCACTTCTGGACAGAAGCTGCCCCTTTGGTCTCTTGTAGCTACTTGAGCTAAGAGGCACGCTCTTCATGAGTATCATTTTATGTCCCGCAGTCCAGTCTAATCTTTGTCTGAAGAGTTGGCCTCGGAAATTGTTTTAGTTCTAGGCTGATAGAGAGTCCAGGCACCATGCTTTCCGGGGTATCTCCAGTCTCAGACCATTAAGTCTGGTGTTCTTACTAGAATTTGAATTCTGCACCCCATCTTTCTGCTGCTCCATCAGGGACTCTCTGTTGTGTTCCCTGTCAGGGCAGTCATTGGTGGTAGCCGGGCACCATCTAGTTCTTCTGGTCTCAGGCTGATGGAGTCTCTGGTTTATGTGTCCCTTTCTGTCTCTTAGGCTAATACTTTCCTTATGTCTTTGGTGTTCTTCGTTCTCCTTTACTCCAGTTGGTTGGGACCAATTAATGCATCTTAGATGGCCGCTTGGAAGCTTTTAAGACCCTAGATGCCACTCAGCAAAGTAGGATGCAGAGCATTTTCTTAATAAGCTTTGGGCATAACAAAGTTTATGAAGAAAATATTCTGCATCCCACTTTGGTGAGTGGCATCTGAAATCTTAAAAGCTAGCGAGCAGCCATCTAAGATGCATCAATTGGTCCCAACCTACCTACAGTAAAGGAGAATGAAGAACACCAAAGATACGAGGAAAATATTAGCCCAAGAGACAGAAAGGGCCACATAAACCAGAGACTCCATCAGTCTGAGACCAGAAGAACTAGATGGTGCCCGGCTACCACCAATGACCGCCCTGACAGGGAACATAACAGAGAGTCCCTCATGGTGCAGGAGAAAAGTGGGGTGCAGAACTCAAATTCTAGTAGAAAGACCAGACTTAATGGTCTGAGACTGGAGGGACCCCGGAAGACATGGCCCCTGGACTTCCTGTTAGCCCAAAACTAAAACCATTCCCGATGCCAACTCTTCAGACAAAGATTAGACTGGACTATGGGACATAAAATGATACTCGTGAACAGTGTGCTTCTTAGCTCAAGTAGATACATAGACTAAATGGGCAGCTCCTGTCCAGAGGCGAGCTGAGAAGGCAGAGAGGGTCACGTGCTGGTTGAATGGACATGGGAAATCTGGAGTGGAAAGGAGGAGTGTGCTGTCACAGTATAGGGAGAGTACCTAGGGTCACATAAGAATGTATGTATAAATTTTTGTATGAGAAACCAACTTGAATTGTAAACTTTCACTTAAAGCACAATTAAAAAAAAAAAAAAAAGAAAGGTCCAGAGCTTTGGCTGCTCTAGGCTTTGCCTGATTGCCAAAGGCTGGGGGATAGGGAACAACACCTCCATATATCTGTAATCCCTATAGGGCATACTTCTCTATCACCTTTTTGGGAAGCTCTGCTCTATACTTTACTGGGAGTCTGAAATATTTCATATTTATGGCTACAGTGCCATAAAACTTCCTCCGTAACAAGGTTCCTGTTTCTGAACCTGCAGAACTTTAGCTTTTGTTTCTGAAAGGGGGAGCACCTGAGGTGAGTGCTCTCTCATTCTTCCAGAATCCTTGTGGTCTAAACCTATCTCCCTGGTAGCTGTTAACTGGTGGTCACAGCACTTGGGCATGGACAGACTTCTGAGGTGTGGGACAGTACTAAAGATGATGACGCTTCAGCCTCCCACCCACCTCCCAGTTGAGACTAGGATGGCTTAAATGGAAAATCACCACTCTATGGCAGAAGTTCTTGGAAGATTAAGGCAAGGTACAGGCTCCTCCAGATTGTTAGAGAAGCTATATCTGTGACTGAGCCCTAGCACAACTGTATTTGTCTCAAGGCCCTGAAGCAGTTCTTGAAGTGAAAGATGAAAGATAATAGAATATTATCATTGCCATAAATAAGAGTTTGTTGAGTTGGACTGTGTATTCAGGACTCTGTGCTAGGCTGAATATTCGGGTAGGGCTGTAAAGAGGTGTAATTTACTATTCTTACCCACAAAGGGCCATAATTTGCTACACAGAAATAACGAGTAAGATTTTTCACCCAATTCACTTAGGCAAAACAATTGAAAGTTGGCTCTGTGCTAGAGGATATGGGGAATACAAACATGGAACCACACAGTCCCTACTTTCAAAGATATGAACACCTATTTGCAGATTTGGCTCTGGATTTGAAGTTATTCAGGGCTGAAAAAAGCTGGCAGTAGGCCTTACCTCAGCTACTGCACCATTTTCATCCTGAGTATATAGAAGTAGCGGGACCAAGCTGTCCAAGACTTGGTTCTCTACACCCTTCTTATCTGTGTTTTTCACAGACTTTATGGAGGCTCCAAAGAGGGTCATGGAGAAACGATGAACATTAGGTCTGACCTATGATGGAAGTATCCAAACGAAAGCAGCTCACTGAAAGTGTTCATGCTTAGCCTGTAAGAATCTAGTTGGGTTGGAAAGCCAGTCCTAACATGAGACTATCTGGCTATATTTAGCTGAGGGTAGGAAGACAAAAATATCTGGAGATAGGAAGACTTGCTGATTTGGCACTACTTGCCCTTCTCTTTCTCTACAAATGAGAAAGGGGCATAGGCCCAGCTGTGGTCATCACAGCTTATGCCTGATACTGGTATTAACTATTCACACATGTTGTTTAGCTACAATTAAAAATCCCAGCCTTGGTATGGTTTACTCTTCCAAGAATGCTGTTCATTGTACTCCATATATTTCCTTTTGAAAAATCTTAGGGATTTGGGATGGGGACATATGTATAGTCCATTGGCCCCGTCCCGATTGTTCCTTGAAAGGAACAAACTTCTTCCCCATCCCATGAAACAGGGTGGCACCTTGGCAAGTCTTTATGTCTCAGTTTTTTTAATCTGCAAAATAAGAATAACTCCACCCTGCCAACATCATGGTTACCTGGGAGCGTCTTAAGAGAGGATATTTGAAAGTGCTCTGAAAGTAAAAAAGCACTACATAAAACAGAGTGTACTTATTACTATCCTAACTTCTACCCACTGCTGTGGCAATTACCCTTCCCCTCTCTGTCTTACATCACCAAATAAGGAGAACAGCGCCCTCATCATGGCAGCCAGGGTGGTGAAATCCATTGAAGGAACAAAGTGCAGGAGTATCTGGATGGCCAGTAACACAATACTCTCGTCGGTTTCATACAAGCTGTCTAAGATGCATGGCAACAGCCTCTTGATATCTTCCCTCTGTGTGCCCAAACACAGCACATCACTATCTCTCCTGACAGCACTTCATCTGGCACCAAAAGGAGGGCTCCCCTCTTTTACTTAGTACCTGATGCTTGTTGAATTTTGGTGGACTGGATAGTCAAGAACAGAGAAGTAAAGAGGGTATGATTGCCCTCTCTCAGTATTGGCAGGGTTGTCATGTAGAAGAGAGAGCAGAGCTGCTGTAAGTCACCTCACAGGGCAGAAATGGGGTCAGATGGGGGAGGGTCCAGGCATATGGACTTAGGCTTAACGTAAGGAAGAACTCTCCTAACAATGAGAGAAAGCAGAATGGCTAGCTCAGGTTATGGAAGGTATCCAAACAAAGGCTAGAAAATTTCTCCGCAGGAATTCAAGTCCTTTCCATTCTGAATTGAGATTCTGCACTTCTGAGACCCCCTGCCTCCAAAGGAAGCAGTCTCAGGGTATTAAAGATTAAAACATACATGTAAAAAAGTACACAGAATTAAGAAACAAATATACATGCATCCAACCAACTGGAATTAACACATACTAATTTTGTCATTTTTGCTTCAGATATATATGTGTATTTTTAGATAAAATAAACAGAACCCAACTGATAAAATTGAAGCCTTGGGTTATTCTTCTCCTCTGACCAAGGCTTGGTTTCTAGCTAGGTCTGTGGAAGATGAGGTCTCTTCCATCATGAATGTCAGTGATCTTTGTCTTAGATGATAAGCTCTTTGTGGTCAGATAGAATGGCCTATCCAATTTACCCTACAGGGCAATACGGTACGAGGCATAAAGGTGTCTAGGTTGTGATGATAATGAGGGTACCTCCTATACAAACTGCAGGTTTCAAATATTATGAATACATGTGACTTGAACTTTTTGTTTCTTTTGAATTCATTAATTTTTTAATAGTCAGTATTTATATATTTCTTAGGTATAAAATTCAAATGGTTCAAAAGGGTGTACAGTGAAAAAAGACCTTCTTCCACCCACTCCTGTTCCTCGGCTACCCAATTTTCCTCCTCAGGGACAAGAAGAGCTGTTTCTAGTTTCTTGGGTATTTTTTGGGGGTATGTTTAATTTGTGATTAAAGAATCAATCAGTGGTTCGGGAGACCCTTCTTACCATCTCCTGGTGTCTGAGGAGATAGCACAGTCCCTTCAGGCCAAGAACTCTGAAGAGATTATTCCCATGATGTAGCCAGTCTTTCAAGCGGGCAACAGAGTATACGTTGGGCAGTCTCCTAGCCACTGGACTCTGGAGAAGCTGACAGAACCCACAAATCAGCTAAAGAAGTTACTTTTAAGCTCTTTTTCATGAGGTGAACTACTTTTCTGCCAACTCCAAAATACGCATTTTCTTCTGAAATCTCTATATACAGCATACATACTACAGAGTGATGCTTACACTGTAGGTATGCAAGGAATACTGAATAATGAGTAAATAAGTGGAAGGAAGAATTTCAATAGGCTTAAATCTGAAAAATATTTCTATCCCACACCTGAGACAGACCCCAGCCTGCCACTAAATTGGAAATAGTCTAGGAAGGCAAATACTGCTCCTTTATGGGCTTCCTGAATCCAACTTCTAAAGAATGAGTCTTACCTCCACAAAAAAGCCTGCAGATGTGATTTTATGTTTATCATTCCCTCGGTTAAGAAGAGGGACTAACAAGTACATGACCTTATGTGCAAGGAGGTGATGTCTTTCCAGCAAAGCACTGCAAAACACAATACCGACAGAACGACCCTCAGAAGTGCTGCCATCCAGACAGCACTTGCCCAGGGCCAGGGACCCCCTAAACTTTTTGCCCAGCTTCAGGTGCAAAGGAGAGGATGCCAGGGCCAGGATATCTAAAAAATTTGCCTGGCATTATGGGAAATTGCCCACCCTGTTTTGAAGAGATTATCCAACCTCTGTGGCTGTAGTGACTAAAAGGGAAAAAAATACCTAAAACAATGCTGATTTAGAGCTGGTGGGTCTATGCATGTCAAGGCAGCCTTACCTGGCAAGGAGAGATACTCCCTGAAGATGGCAATCTTTTCCTTCCAGAAGGGTCCATCCTTTATTCTTTTCCATGATGCTGAATTCCTGCCAGCACAAGGTTCTAAGGAGGAGAGTCTTTGTAGCCTGTATGGCTAAGCTAAATCAAACAGAAACAGTAAGGGTGAATAGAACACGTTCCTCCAACTTACTGTAACTAGATCACCCCACTCTCACTGAAGGGGGCTATGCATCCAGAGTTGCTTGACTGTAATTCTCTCCTTTCTAGATTTCCTAAAAGATTCTTAATGCTTTAATAACTTGAAAGGTGCTTCATACAAATTTGTAGCATAGAAATATAACTGGATTTTGTTTCTCCAGGAGTATGAAAAGAAATCTATGATAAAACAAATGATCTTGGATGTCAAACCATATCCACTGCTTTTTTCTAAGCTTTATTGAGATATAATTTACCTCCACTGCTTTTTCAAGCTACTTATTGGACTGGTGACCTGGACATATCATCAGAGAATCTTAAAGTTATAAGGGTCCTTGGAGATTACCTAACCTGACATCCTTGTTTACAAATAAGAAAACTGAGACACAGGAGAAAGAGTTTCCCAGGGTACACAGCTAGTTAAATGGATGAATGAAAACTAGAACTCAGGTCTGCTGACTCCTAGTCTGGTGTTTTCAAATATTCCACACTGTAGTAGTGCCTCTGAAAGAAACCAATGTGCTACAGTGACACTAAGAAATTTCTACTGAGACCCTCATGCTGGACTAAAAATATCTCCCCATTTGAAAGCAGAAACAAGGAATCACTCGGCTGTCGACAGCAGTTTTCTGGGTAGGTTTGAAACTATTTTGCTTGTCTCTGTCTTTTTTGCTTGATTTAAAAAGGACTGGCATGATATCATACATTATTTTGCAAGGATTCTGGACCCAGATGATCAAATTTGCCTTGGTATCAATAAAACCAAAGTCAACCACTGAGAGCCCAGAATGATCCCTGGGCATCTCATCTTGATGTTTCATGCCAGTAGCAGGCTGTGAGCTCTCCCAGGGTTGGGACCACATCTTGGCTATCCTTGTATCCACCACAGTGCCCAGTGCTTAATAAGTGTTAGTTAAGCAAATGAAATCACAATGGGCAGTACCACAAAGGGGTGACCTCCGAAGACACTTCTTGGTCTACATATAGGCCACTTGGAATGGCGACATCAGACATGGTGAGGCCGATGCTGTGGTGAATCTGGATGAGCAGTGTCATGAGAAGCTGAGGAAAGAGTCGGAACGTAGCTGCTCGGAGCCTGTTTCCCATAAACACCTCATAAAGGGCATCTGTTGCCTGTAGTAGAAAAGGCACATAGCAGAACTGAACACCTGCTGGCCCTAATCCTTACTTTTGCTTTACTACTGTTTGTGACAGCACATGCTTTCTGGTTCTACTATCCCAAAGACAGAACAGTAGAGGTAATTAGTTTAAGGACATGAAAATGAGGGGAAAAATGAATAAGAGTGAAGTTGTCATTAAAAGTTACCCCAGAGTGAGGGGAGACCTGAAATCCAGAAGTCATAAAGGAAAATATTAACAGATTCAATTACATACAAATAGAAAACCAGGGCAAAGATTATTATAAACAAAGTTAAATGACAAACAACTTGGAAAAATACTGCATTATATTTATCAATGCAATATTCTTAATATATAAAATATTCTTATATATAAGAAAAAATGTATAAAGGCTTGCTACTCAAAGTGTAGGGAGCTAATGAGAAACGGAGACTCTCAAGCTCCACTGCAGACCTACTGCAGCAGAATCTGCATTTGAATAAGCTCCCCAAGTGATTGAGGTTTATGTGCACATTAAATTTGAGAGGCACTAGCGTACACAACATGAGCAGACAAGTCATACACGAAGAAATACAAACAACAGAAGATAAACTAGATAACTGGGACCTCCTAAAAATAAAATAGTTATGCTCATCAAAAGACTTTACCAAAAGAGTAAAAAGAGAACCTACAGACTGGGAAAAAATTTTTGGCAATGACAAATCTGATAAGGGTCTAATCTCTAAAATATATAGAAAACTTCAACAACTCAACAACAAAAAGACAAACAATCCAGTCAAAAAATGGGCAAAGGACATGAACGGACACTTCACCAAAGAGGACATTCAGGTGGCTAACAAACACATGAAGAGATGTTCCCGATCATTAGCCATTAGAGACACACAAATTGAAACTACAATGAGATACCATCTCATCCCTGCAAAAATGGCACTGATCAAAAAAAAAAAAGAAAAAGAAAGAAAGAAAGAAAGAAAATGCTGGCGAGGGTGTGGGGAGATTGAAACTCTTAAACATTGCTAGTGGGACAGTAAATAATACAACCACTATGGAAAACGGTATCGTGCTTTCTCAAAAAGCTAGAAATAGAAATACCTTATGATCTAGCAATCCTACTCCTAGGTGTATATACTAGAGATATAAGAGCAGTGACACAAATAGATATATGCACACCCATGTTCATTGCAGGATTATTCACAATAGCAAAAAGATGGAAACAACCTAAGTACCCATCAATGGATGAATGGGCAAACCAATTGTGGTACGTACACACAATGGAACACTATGCGATGATAAAGAATAATGAATCCATGAAACATAACATGGATGAATCTGGAGGACATTATGCTGAGTGAAATAAGTCAGTCACAAAAGGACAAAAATTGCATGATTTCACTTTTCGAAAAAGTCAAGAACAGGTATACACACAGAAAGCAACATTCTTTGATGGTTACCAGGGATGGGAGGGGAAGGGAAGGGGAATCACTTACTAGATAGTAGACACGTGTTAATTTTGGTGATGAGAAAGGCAATACACAATATGGGGAAAGTCAGCACAACTTGACCAAGGTAAATGAAGACACACAAGAATAAAGGACAACTACCATAAATGCTAAAACATACACAATTTTGCAACACTAATAACAAGCAAAAAAATATGTGAGTGGTTACATAGGTATACATGCATACTATATAGGTGTGGGAAGCCGTATGGGAGTACATGTGTGTGCATGTATAGGTATATTTGTGGGCATACATATATACGTTTGTATGTGCTACATATATATTCGTACATACAATAAAACACATAGGGGGCACAGTTATAGATATTTCCTAGACATATCCAAACACCTTATGGGATTAATTTACTGGGTTTGAAGGCTCAGGACCTCATCTCGTAGGACAATTAGGTCAATTGGCATAACTTAGTTCATAAAGATAATGTTCTACACATCCTGGTTTGGTGAGTAGTGTCTGGGGTCTTAAAAGCTTACGAGCGGCCATCTAAGATACAACTATTGTCTCTTCCTGTCTGGAGCAAAGGAGAGTGAAGGAAACCAAAGGCTCAAGGAAGAAATTAGTCCATAGGACTAACGGCCCACACGAACCACAGCCTCTTCTAGCATGAGACCAGACGAACTAGATGGTGCCTGGCTACCACTACCGACCGTTCTGACCAGGGACACAATAGAAGGTCCCAGTTAGAATGGGAGAAAAATGTAGAACAAAACTCAAATTTATAAAAGAGACCAGACTTGCTAGACTGATAGAGACTAGAAGAACCCCTGAGACTACTGCCCTAAGATACCCTCTTAACCTGGAACTGAAGCCACTCCTGGAGGTCACCTTTCAGCCAAATAATAGACTGGCCTATACAGTAAACAGTAACACCTGTGAGGAATGTGCTCCTTTAGACAATCAACTATGCGAGACCAGTCAACATTTACTAAAAAGCAAAGATGAGAAGGCAAGGAGGGGCAGGGAAACTGGATGGATGGGGCAGAAACAGTGAGAGTTTTGACACATTGCCAGGTCTGTAACCAATGTCACTGAACGATCTGCGTATGAACTGTTGAATGGGAATGTAATTTGCTGTGTAAACTTTCATCTAAAACACAATAAAATATGCAAAAAAAAAAAAAAAGAAGAAATAGAAATGGCCAATTAGAAACATATACAAATATTTGACCTTACCATTAACAAAATTATAATTACAACAATGAAGAGACTGCTAACTTCAGTGTAGAGAACGTGGATAAATGGGCATTCTGATACAGCAATGGAGAAAGGGCAACGTTCTAGAGGACAAGCTGGGAACGTGTATCAAAATTTTAAATAAGCTCACCCTTTAACCTTGAAATTCCTTTTCTACGGACTTTATTCTAAGAAAATAATCGGGTATGTGTAACAAGATGTATGTATGATTAAGCTTGCTACGGCATTGTTTTAATGGGTAAAAGACTAAATGTTTACCAATAGAAGACTTGATAACTAAATAATGGTTCTGTACCAATTAAGTATTACCTATTTTTTTAAAAAAAGGTAATTAAAATGTAAGTTACTATCCGGCCATGAATATAATAAGAGATCTTTGTATATTGATATGGATAACAGTTCATATATTGTTAAGTGAAAAAAAGCAGGTCACCCAACAGTATATGTAGCATGATCTTATTAATATATAAAAAATTTTATAGAATAACATGATAAAATACTTTTATCTGTCCTAACTTCTAAAATTGCACTAAAATGACAGTATATAGATTTTTGAAAAGGCATAAACCCACGAGAACAGAGAATAGGAAAGGAGACAATAACATACTGAGATGCTGAAATAATTTTGGAAGCTAAAAAAATAAATATATGATAATAACTTAGCCTAGAGAAAGTTTAATCATAAACTGGTAGGAGACAAAATAAAACTAAAAAGTATACCAACAAAAGTTTTATATATGTATAAACACTCCTGGGAAGTTCATCTCTAGGGAGATAGTACAGCCATGAACTAAGGATGGTTTTTACATTTTTATAGAATAATTAAAAAAATCCAAAGAATATGTTATAGAGACTGTATGTGGCTTGCAAAGCCTAAAATATATACTATCTGGCCCTTTACAGAAAACGTTTGCCAACCCCTGTTCTAAGGGACCTTGGCTTTCTCTTTTCTCTTCTGCATCATTTGAAATTTTTTTCACAAGTTTGTATTACCCTTTAACTATGACGATAAATACTTTTTAAAGGATGAGGGGAGGAATGTGTAAAACATATGAAACCACACTAATTCCTTCACCTCTCCTTCCCTCCCTCCATGTCCATCCTTTGGCAGAGACACTCTAGATTCTTCTACCCTTGGTAGAGACACTGTAGATGCCTCCGTGGATGACAGAACCAAACTTTCATCCAGGAGGGGAGCATGATGGGCTGACACTGGAGGGGCAGAGCACAAGGGCTTACAGCAACAGCTACATAGGCCATCTTCTCCTGAGTGGGCACGTTATGGCATTTCTGCAGCTTCCTCAGGAGCCTCCAGAGAATCCAGGTCGTGCTGGGCAGCTCTACTTCCAGCGTTCTCCACAACTCGACCAGATGCCTAGAAATCCCAAAGAGTAAGAGAGTTCAGGAAAATGGTTTATCCCAGACCCACCGTGACCACAGCCCTTCTGTTCCTAGCACATGTTTACGATCCAATCTATATGAGGTTTCCCTCTCTGCTCAGTTCTTCAGGGTATCAAAAGACTCACTATCTGGTTTCATAACAGTAACTCCCAACTTGTTATAGAACCAAGTTCCCATTGCCTCAGCATGGACCTCAAGGTCATTCACAAACTGACCGAAATTACCTTTTTAGCCCCACCACTTCCCTATCATATACTCTGTGCTTTAGCCAACACAGACCGGAAATTCACCTTTTCCAAATAAATCGTGGACTTTGAAAACCCTATAGCTTTGCTTATGTCATTTCCTTAAACTGAAAGACCCCTTCCAAAGCTCTTCTCTGCCCGTCAAAATCCTTCAGGTCCAGCTCCAATGTCTCTCTTCTGTGAAGTGTTGGCTGCTTCCTCACCATGTCTTTCGTGAGAGTTCCCACAACACTTTTTACATTTCTTCTTTATAGAGGCTGCCTCAGTCTTACATGTGCTATTGTCAGGTCTCTGTATGTGTGTCTATTTGTTCCCTCTGAAATCAGGGAGTATGTCTGGCTTTTCTTTAATGAATACCTCGGGACCTAGGCCAATGCTAGGCTCACAGAAGGCATTCAAAGAAATATTTACTCAGTCTAGTCTATAGTCCTCAAATTTTGGCTAAGATCAAGCCCTGAAACAAAGCTTTGATCCTCTTTAGAAGAGATCTCTTCTGAAAGAAAAAAAATATATAATAACTTCTCTGTCACTAACTCAAATGCAGGACCTGAGAATTACGTAAAAATTGTAGATGAGCATTATGGGGATGTTGTGAGGTGGGAAGACTGAGAGTTACCCATGCTTGTGATCTATTCTCTTATTTTCAGAATCTACTTAGGCAATTTCGGATGCTAAACTCAATGTTAAAAGTGTAGTCTCCCAACCATCTACCTCAGAATCACTTCAAAAATTGAGAGGCTTAGAGACTATTGCAATATTTCACTTCCTACCCTGGTAAGTTTAATCTGTGAATAAAACATAGCAAGGAGGTCCCAAGGACTTTTAAAGGGAATGCATTAGTCGCTAAACTAATTAGCCGCTACAGTTCTTCAGTGACTCCCTTTCTCCCACAGGATAAAGTCCAATGCCTTAGTTTTAATTAAATGGGACCTAACATATCTCTGCTATCTAATTCTGATCACTTTTAAAAACAGTTTTATTGACTGGACTAAACCAAAGCTAAGAAGCTTACTGAATACAATCAAACACTTCGAGAGACAGACTAGCAGGGGTAGGGGTCTGGTGACCATGCTTTCGAGGGACATCTAGGTCAACTGGCATAACGAAGCTTATTAAGAAAATGTTCTGCATCCTACTTTGGTGAGTGGCATCTGGGGTCTTAAAAGCTTGCAAGTGGCCATCTAAGATGCATCAATTGGTCGCAACCACCTGGAGTAAAGGAGAACGAAGAACACCAAAGACCCAAGGAAAGCATTAGCCCAAGAGACAGATAGGGCTACATAATCCAGAGAGTTCATCAGCGTGAGACCAGAAGAACTAGATAGTGCCTGGCTACCACCAATGACTGCCCTGACAGGGAACACAACAGAGAGTCCCGGATGGAGCAGGAGAAAGGTGGGGTGCAGAACTCAAATTCTAGTAAGAAGAGCAGACATAATGGTCTCACTGAGACTGGAGGAACCCTGGAAAGCAAGGCCCCGGGATTCTCTACTAGCCCAGAAATAAAACATTTTCCGAGGCCAACTCTTCAGACAGGGGTTGGACTGGACTGTGGGACATAAAGTGATACTCATGAGGAGTGTGCCTCTTAACTCAAGTAGATACAAGAGACTGAACAGGCAGCTTCTGTCCGGAGGTGAAATGGGAAGGCAGAGAAGGTTAGAAGCTGGTTAAACACACATGAGCAATCAGGGGTGGAAAGGAGGAGTGTGCTGTCCCAGTATGGGGAGAGCAATTAGGGTCACATAACAATGTATGTATAAATTTTCGTATGGGAGACTAACTTGAAACGCAAACTTCATTTAAATTACAACAATAAAAAAAAATTTAAAAACAAAACAGAAGTTTTATTGAGGTATAATTTGTTGTTGTTAGGTGCTGTCAAGTCGGTTTCGACTCATTGTGACCCTGTATACAACAGAACAAAACACTGCCTGGTCCTGCACTATCCTCACAACCTTTGCTCTGCTCAAGCCCACTGTTGCAGCCACTGTGTCAGTCCGTCTTGTTGAAGGTCCTCCTCTTTATTACTGACCCTCTACTTTACCAAGCATGATGTCTATCTCCAGGGACTGGTCCCTCCTGGTAACATGTCCAAAGTATGTGAGATGACGTCTTGCCGTCCTCTCTTCTAAGAAGCATTCTGGCTGCACTACCATAAAATTCACCTATGTATTTTAAGTGTACAATTCACTGACTTTTAGTAAATTTCCAAGTTCTGCAACCATCACCACAATCCAATTTTAGAACATCTCCATCACTGCAAAACGATCCCTTGTGTCTCTCATCACTTCTTACTATCCACCTCTCTCCAACCATGCTGATCTGTATCTGGCTCTCAGCACTTATCAAGCTGTTTTATACCTCCTTGCCTTTATTTATTTAATTTTATTGTGGTAAAATATAGATAACAAAACGTTTGCCACTTCAACAATTTTTAAGTGTACAATCCAGTGACATTATTGACTTTCACCATGCTATGCTACCATCACCACTACTCTTTGCCTTTATTTTTGCTATTTCTTCTGCCTGGAATGCCTTTTCCGTTCCCCGTCCCACTTTCTACTTGATTAATTCACACTACAAAATCCAGCTTGGGGCTAGTCCTTCTTTCAGAAATCCTTCTCTGATCCTTCATCCAAAGTTAAGTCTTCTAGGAGCTCTGACAGAATCCCCTACTTTGCTTTGGAATCACCTCTTATTCTTCTAAGTCTTCTACCAGACTGTGTTGCTTGAGGGCAGAGTCCATGTCTTGTTTTTTATCTCCCCAGTGCCTGACAGAGCCCCTTGCACATGGCAGATGCTTTGAACAGACTCTTAGGAACAATCACCCCAATCTGTATGTAAACAAACTAACAAACTTCAAGTAAATGACCCAGAATATAATCAGATTGAAGCTTCATGTTTAGTACGTCATTTCCACCAGACTCCACAGTTCTCATGAGATCTAAAGCAGTTTTCAAAGTCCTCAAAGGAGCAGAACAAATACAAACAATAAAATAATGTTAAAATTATACTTACAATAACTAAACATATATATTTTGTACTTCATTAGATATATTTTATACAACAATTGAGTACAGATAAGCTGTAACAAGTGTCAAAAAATTAAAAACAATTTACTAGAAAAATATACAAAAGAACATTTAAAATATATATATGTTAACCCAATATTTTTCTCTGGATGGGTAAAAGTCCTCCGTTATTGATTCAGTGGTAGACTAAGTTCAGCTTATAGACTATCAGCACTACACCAAAGCATTATTTGAGAACCATTCATTTAAAAGAGTAGTTTTCAAACATTTTAAAGTGGAGCGTAATAAAAATGAAATAGCATTTTAAAGCTATTTTATTTCCCAAATAAAATAGCTATCCAGAATCATAGTATATAAAACAGACTTAAAAAGGTGCCACTCTTGTTCAAGTGGGTTGGGGGCCTGGAGCCTTCTCCTAAAGCGAACTGCCTTCCCCATAAGGCATCTCCTTGAAACTTACAGGGTGCCACCAAATTTGAAATCCACTTATCTAAAAAAAAAAAGCATTTTGTTTTTTCCTCTCTCTAATTCCATTCTTGTTTATGCATATATTTATGCTTTTTTATGTATGTGTGTGTATATATATATATTTTAACTAACTCATTTGCAAGCAAGTTGCAGGCATCATGACACTTCACCACTAAATAAATTTAAGGACATTCTTCTGCAGAACCATCATATCATTTCATATCTAAGAAAATTAACATTGATGTAATAAATCTAATACATAGTCCATATTTAAAATTTTCAAAAAAATTCTTACAGTTTCTTTTTTTTTAATCCAGGATATAATCAAGGACACATTATATTTGGTTTTGTCTCTTTAAGTGTCCTTTAATCTAGAATAGCACCCCCACCACTACCATTTTTTTCTTTCATGACATTAACTTTTCTGAAGAAACCAGTCTAACTATCTTATAGAATGTTCTTCATTCTGGATTTGTTGGATTGTTTCCTTATGTTTATGCATTATATCCTAATTTCTATCGCAGGCATTTGTCTAGTACATCTTAGCTCCCCTACAAGAATTCCTTAGACCACGTTCCACAATACTCAGAACTATGTCATATACTCCAGTTTAATCCAGAAGCTGTACAGGGTTCTATACCTGTCATATGGTACTGGATGACACAGAAGGTGGCTGAGCACAATATCTGTATACTTGGGCCTGGAGACAAACAAGCTCACGGTATTTATGACTTGTTGGCGGATGCTTGGCTGGATGATTGTGGATAGCTGGGCACAGATAACTCCCATTATTTCTGGCACCTGAAAAGGGGAAAAAAAATCACTAAGACCTTAATCCTGTGGAACACTGATGATTACTGAGGGTACTGTGGCCATTTCTGAAAGGTCCTAGGGAGTGATTTTTTAATTTTCTATGTTTTTATTTATTGTTGTAGTTTAAATGAAGTTTACATTTCAAGTTAGTCTCTTATACAAAGATTTATACATACATTGTTATGTGACCCTAATTGCTCTCCCTATACTGTGACAGCACACTCCTCCTTTCCACCCGATTGCCCATGTCCATTTAACCAGCTCCTAACCCTCTCTGCCTTCTCATCTTACCTCTCGACAGAAGATGCCCGTTTAGTCTCATGTACCTACTTGAGCTAAGAAGTACACTCTTCATGAGTATCATTTTATGCCCCACAGTCCAGTCCAATCTTTATCTGAAGAGTTGGCCTCAGAAATTGTTTTAGTTCTGGGCTGATGGAGAATCTGGGGGCCATACTCTCTGGGGTTCCTCCAGTCTCAGTCAGACCATTAAGTCTGGTCTTCTTACTAGAATTTGAGTTCTGCACCCCACCTTTCTCCTGCTCCATCCGGGACTCTCCGTTGTGTTCCCTGTGAGAGTGGTCATTGGTGGCAGGTGGGCACCATCTAGTTCTTCTGGTCTCAGGCTGATGAAGTCTCTGGATTATGTGGCCCTGTTTGTCTCTTGGGCTAATACTTTCCTTGTGTCTTTGGTGTTCTTCATTCTCCTTTACTCCAGGTGGTTGGGACCAATTGATGCATCTTAGATGGCCACTTGCAAGCTTTTAAGACCCCAGATGCCACCCACCAAAGTAGGATGCAGAACGTTTTCTTAATAAGCTTTGTTATGCCAATTGACCTAGATGTCCCCTGAAAGCATGGTCCCCAGATCCCCACCCCTGCTACTCTGTTTGGGAGTGATTTTTAAAACAACATGTTTAATTATTTAAAAAAAGTTTATCTGTATGTATGCATATGTATATAAAAGAATTGGCTGTATATACAAAGATGTAAATAGTTTGTCTTTGAGTGATGAGATATTTGATTTTTTGCTTATGTATTTAAAAAAATTTCCTCAATGATTATGTATTGATTTTCAATAATACAAACTAAAAAAAGTGTTGCAAGAACTTGGGGTCCACCCAGACTCTGAGAATGGCCAAGTAGCCCTTACCTGCCCTCCTCTCAAAGATGTCTATCATGCTCAGGTAAAACCAACAGGGGTCATTTCTCTGCTTGAACTATTCCTCTCACTCATAGACTCATGGCTTCAGATCTTGATGGAAATTCTAAGGGCCCTCAGAGAGGTGAAAGGAAGAAGTGTGGAGACCAGATAAGAGGGGCAGCCTAAAGTCTGACTTAGGGTGTACTCCACGTGGATTGGGAGGAACTCCAAATTATAACCACACATTTGTTGCACCATCTGGGCTCCAGGTGTGTACCCAACTATCTATTGAAAGATTTTCTTTTTGGTATTAAGCGTACTTTCCTGCTCTTTCAAGCATAAAGGGAATAAAGGGTTATGAAAGTTTATTTTTATTTATAAAATGCTTTTCAATATTAAACATGTAACCCCTCACCTTAACATTACCATGTATCTTTCCTTGTAGCTCTTATGGTTTTTTTAGTCATAGGATTGATTTATGCTTTTATATAGTCATAGTCAGTGTGTATACAATTTTCTGCTTTCTTTTTCTCACTTAACATTATTATTGTATATTCACTTCCCATGTGCTCACTTAGCCTTTATAATTATAACTTTTAATGGCTGCCCTTTTGCCCATAATTCACCACTGGCATAGTGTGAGGGAGACTGGTTTAGTAGAAAGCACACTAGGCAGATAATTAAGATATGTGAGTTCTTTTTATGTGACTCCTGGCTCTGTCACCAATTACTATTGTGGCACTAGAGGAATCCTTTAATTTCTCTGGGCCCCAGTTTTTCTCATCTATGAAATAAAAAATGTACACTAGATTTCAATGTCTTTCTTAAAATTATATGAATACTGTTGCAAAAAATTATTTGTGTATATAACCATTCATTTTTTAAAAAATTATTTCCTGAAATTAAGTTAATAAATTCTAAGGCATGGGATTTCTACGGTAAAGGTGGGAAAAGTTCAAAGTTCTTAAACTGTCTAAAGAATCAGATCAATTTACATTGCTTAGAATATGACTTGAAAAATATTTTTCCTGATCATAAAAATAAATTGTTCCGTGGGGAAAGCCATTTTGATGTTAACGTAAACTTTTCATAAACATAGTTTTTAGTGGCTACATGTATCACATCATATGGATACACACAATTTACTTAACTATATGAGGCGGTTGGACATTTCAGTTTTTTCTAGTTTTTCATATCATAAGTAATACTGCTATGTATTTGTATATATATCTTTTTTACATTTCTGATTATTTCCTTAGAATAGACTCCTAGAAGTGAAATCTAGGAAGCAATGCGTATGACTAATCTTTAAAAGATCTATTAAATTGTTTTTCAGAAAAGTAGTACTGATTTATGTTTCCATCCAATAAACATGAAATTATGAAAACAGCTTCACTAGTAATGAGGGAAACGCAAATTAAAACAACAGTAAGATACCATTTTTCACCTATAAAATTGGCAAAACTTTTAAATTGTGATACTATTAAGAGTTCAGGAAGGAGTAGAGAAATGAGTACTCCTCTATACTGCTGCTGGGAGTGGCTACAGTTACTTTGGAGGTAACTGATAATATGGCAGTATCCAGTGACATACCAAGGTACGCGTGTGGGGGGTAAGGGGGGATGGAGTGATCCACTCTGGGTGCAGGCAATAAAGAGATTCAGTGTTTGTAACGAATTTAAAAACAGTAATAAAACCAACTAAAAGTCAGTCTGCTTTTTATAATAATCACGTGCCATCAATCCTAAACAATGTCAATGATAACATACTTCTCCCTGCCAGGGTGGAAGTCTCCCACCCTCAACCCCCTAGGTATGCCACTAGCTATATCTATTAAAATTTTAAATGTATATATCCTACAATCCAGCAACTCCCCTTCTCATTATCTACTTTAGAGAAATATTCCATTTGTGCCCAAGGAGACAGGAACAAAGGTGTTTACTACAGAGCTGTTTCTAACAGCAATAAACTGAAAACAGGCAACGTACTCCACCAACAATGCTTCGGTACTATGGCAGGACACTGCTGGTTCCTACCCAACAGCCTCTTCTGCCCCTACCCTTAATCTTTGCTGGAAGAACTTCAATTTTGTTTGGGTGTTCTTTGAAGCACTTAGGGAACCAGTGGTATTTCAAGGCTCTTTCCTCCTTATTCCCCAGCAGGTCTGCTCTCCAGAGACAACTACTTTCCTCCCTTTCAGCACTTTAGTGTCTCTCTGCATTTCTAAATGATATATTGCTATTTCTTGAAGTATCACTTCTAGATACTTTTAGATAAATTCTCTGGATTTTAAGCTTACTAAGTCTGTCGCCTCTAGAATCGCTTAAGGCTTGATTTTTTTTTTTTTTTTTTTTTTTTTTTTTTTTTCTTTTTAATTTGACATTTTTAATTCACCTAAATGAAAATCTAAATTGAAGTTACCATTTTCATATGTGTTAATTATCTCTCCTCAGAAACCTATCTCTTCTGGAAAATACGGGCTACACCTTAGATTTTTAAAATCTTCCCTGGTGCTTACACAGCAGTGGTTCAGTATACGCCTGTTGACTGGATAAATGTATGTAACCAAATGGCCTAAGGCTCTGATCTTGGCCCCTTCAGTGGTTGTTCTCAGCTGAACAGGAATACCAGAAGAGACCTCTTTAGCTGCAGGAGTGGAGAGGTCTTGCTGGTAATTCAAGCCCTGGAAATGGCCACGGAGCTTTTTACCTTCTCAAAGCGGGATTCTGCATTTTTCACCAGTGTTATCAGTAATTCTCCTGCTGATTGCTGAGTGCAGGGATGTCTCACATTTTTCAGGCCGTCCAGTGTAGTCATTACAAACTGGCAGAGCTCATGTGAATTGAGAAAAACTTCGAAGACCTGAAATTATTTAGGGATAATGAACCTCCAAGAAATAAGGTATGATAGAAAGAACCATGCACAAGGAATAGCTTCTAAGTTAACAGAGAAGTGCACAAAGATGTACAAGGCTGTTATTTTCAGTCTCGTTTACCACAGTGAAAAACTGGAAGCAACCCAAACGTCCACAGATGGGGTCTGTGCATGGCCTTTTACAGCTCAGACTTTCAGCTTTATTACTCAGAAAGTGTCACACTTTCATAGGAATGAGAGTAAAGGAAAGGCTCTAATGTTATATAGCTGACAGGTTCCCAGGAATAGTAAAATACCTTGTGTGGAGTCAATACTACATTAAAAGAATGTGCTAATCTGCTTTTCATTGCACTTGGCAGTGTACAAGGTCTTTCACATGACTATAACCACGGGTAAAATTTACTGGGCACTTACTATGTGATGAATACTAAGCAAAGCATTTTACATACAGTATCTCATTTAACCCTCACAACAATTGAGTTATCCCAAGTTTTACAGATCCTTATTGTACTGATGAGGAAACGGAGGCAAAGAGAGATTAAATTACTCGATAACTTAGACCTATGTCAGTAAGATCCGTAGGTTTTGTTTTTTTCCCTAACCCCTAACATAGTAACTGGCACCTAGTAGATGCTTAATAAATATTGTTGGATAAAGAATAAATGTATTAAGAGTATACAGCTTATTGGATCAACTATGACCTCTTTCAACTCCTTTTTGTGACAAGGGTTCACATGTGCAAGAGGCTGGCTATGGTCAGGAGAGCCATCAGTGGGAGTAGAGCTAGTCTAGAGAAATCTAAACTGGCAGGATGACCTAAACCACTAAACTAATAAGGCAAGGTGTCTAAAGAGTCACAAACATGGTGCATCCTCTCCAAACTATAAAATGTTTAGACAGCAAATTGTCTGGGCTATCTTGAATGTTTAGTTTATAAGAAATTACCAAAACTTTCTCCAAAGTTGTTTTACCATTTTACATTCCCATGAATGTCTGAGAGTTCTGGTTGCTCCTTTATCCTTGCCAACATTTGAAGCTGTCAGTCTTTATAGTTTTAGCCATTCTAACTACCTGGGCAATTTTGGAGGGACAACTGTAGAACTGTTTAGTATTGTAGAGCTGTAGGAGTTCTCGACATTTTTTCATTGCTTTCCGCAAGCTTTGGTGATTTTTCTTGTCATGAGTGAGATCTGAAAAGAAAATATGAAACATTAATACTTTCTGGCTTAGTTCTCCTTGATTTTGCAAATTTGGTTGATCTCTAGGTTGAAGCAGACCCCAATGTCTCACTCTTTTGCACCTGAACAAAAATGTCTGGCAGAGGATATGTGTTAATCTGAAGGCTGATTTGTTTCCCCTCTGTTGGAGACATATATAAAAAGAGCACAAAGAAAAAGAAATAAACATTTTTTGAGAGAAGACCTTGTGAACAATCTGGGAGTACAACCAAAACACGCTACCCATTTTTCCTATTGGTGAGGATTCTTGAGGGGTCTCACGAAGCTTAGGTCCTGACATAAAATTGCCCAATTTTGTACTGCATCTGATAATTCCAGTATTAGAACTCTCTATGTGTCTAGTTTTGCTGATTATTGTGTCTGCCAACACTCTCTCATAGTGCTGTTTTTCTCATGTTTTACTGTGATCTCATATTCACTAGAAATTTATCCATGGGAAGTCTTTGAGGACTTGGTTGAGGAAACTGTCTCTTCATCTAGAAAATGAGCTCATTGAGGGAAGAGATCTTGTCCGTCTTGTTCACTGATGCATCCCTAGAACAGTAAACATTCATAAACAATCAATTCTATTTCCTTAACTGTATATCTTGGTAGATATTTCTCATACTCAGAGCTGCCCAGAGATGGGACTGTTGCCTTGGGAAGCACAGAGCTTCCTTTTCCTAGGGATGAGCAAGCCCAGGTGGGACAACTACTTGGTGGGGAATGGAGTAGACTGAGATTCAAACACTAGAAGGGATGCTGGGTTAGGTATCTTCTGAGGTCTCTTCTAACTGTGGGAGTCAGGGATTCATTCCTCGACACATTGGCCCTCTCTCTGTTTCTCAAACTCCTCAATCTCATACCTGCTAAGGGCCCTTGCTTGTCCTGCTCCCTCTACCTAATATACTCTTCTTACTTCTTCACCTGGCTAGCTGCTCATTTTTCTTCAGATTATCTTCTGAAAGGCCTTTGCTGAACTCCACAACTAAATTTGATTCTCTTGGCCCCTGTATTTTTTTTCAGTTATCTTTATTTATAATAACATAGCTATCTGTTGACTCTTTGATTGTCTGACTCTCCCAATAGATCATAATGTAAGGATTGGGACCACTTGTGTTGTAGTTACTGTTGGATCCCAAGTAAGTACTCAATAAACATTCATAGGGTTGCGTTTAGCCGTTCCAACACTATAGCCGTGCAGATGGCTGGCAGTGATGGGTCTGATTCAGTGTCATAATTATTGAGCCATTGTTGCTTAATCATGTACCCTTTCTCTGTATTAACTACAGTACTTAAAGTCTTTCTAGAAAATGGGAAGTTAGGGAACAAGGAAGGCTTGTGCTTGTGTTGTGCTAGAGAACTTATTCAGGGCCTGATTGCCTTCAGCAGCGCCTTACATTTCAACCTCATGGTGATATGCAGCAGGTGGTGTGTGCCCTCTGCAGCCTCCTCGGCCACCTCTTTCAGTGGGTCCCCACATAGCAGTGCCATGAGGGCCACCAGGTGTCCAAGTCTTTGGAACCGAAGTGGAAGCTAATTAGGAAGGAAAAAGAAATATGACATCAGAATACATGTGTATTTAGAATTTAGTGCTTTAGATTTGATTTTTTGCAAAGTTATCCCACTTCTACTCCCAACTCAAGAGAAGGGCAAGGGTTATATTCAACCCATGGATCTCTTTAGGGTTAACATTTAACATGTGTAGACACAATATAGCCAGCAGGTGGCGTTGTTGTTATTGTTGTTGTTATTAGGCATTGTCAAATTGATTTTCGACACAGCAACCTATGTGACAGAGTAGAACTGCCCTATAGGGTTTCTAAATAGGGCAAATTCTAACCTAAGTATACAATCTGAAAAGTAAAAAATTTTGTGCATGAAGATGTTTACTCTAGACCTGTTTTTAAAGACCACATATTGTAAATAATTGCCTAATAACAGTAAAGAGAATTATGGTACAGCTATTCCATGAATACAACTATAAGAAATCAAGTGCGGCACGATGGAGCACTTTTATACGACCTTTCTAGCGATGATCTTGTAACTCCCACCAAAAGATTGGGTGGGGTTATGCAAATAAGGTGCTTGTGGCCCATCAAGGGGATTGTACACCTTGCTAATAATGCAAACAAGGTACACGGCACCCTTGCGGGGGTTGGACCATACAAATAAGGTGTATGGAACCCTAACAAGGGGATTGGTTAGTTTTGTCATCCCGCTAGGCTTAAAATGAGCCATCCCAGAGGTGGAAAGGGGTACTTCACTACTACCAAGAACAGCTGGGAGTGGAGTGCATCCTTTGGACCCAGGGTCCCTGTGCTAAGAATGTCCTAGACCCAGGAAACAGAGAAAGGGAGCTGTAACACAGAAGACAGCGAGAGAGAGTGGCCCAGCAGTAGCAAGAGTGACAGTGGTGTGAAACAGTAAGAACCAGGAGACTGGCACAAGAAGGTACAGTGGGCTTCCTGGCCCATAGAGCAAGGTGGTTACAGTGGGTGTGCTGATCAGGGCTTCTAATCAGTTCTGCCTGGTTCTGTCATGGCCAATGAACCGAAACCAGAACAGACCCCAATTTTAAAAATCTGGGTAGTAAAGGGGAACGATAACCAGAATGGGAAAAATTACAGGTCAAAGCCCTGCTAGAAGCTTAATCTCCCTCTTAGAAAACAAGGGCAGCAACCAAATCTCTTGCCCATTGGACTTTCAGCAGAGTGGGTAGCAGTGGTACCTCATTCAAAGACGGTTTCTGTCTGTGCCCCTTTGAATGTCTATCACTCTTCACTGTTCTGCCAATGATCCAATCTCCTGCATCAGGCTCCTGAAAGGGCTCACGATGCCTCTTCTGAGTCACCCATTCCAGGGCTTAAACTCATAATTTTTCCCGTTCCAGTTATTGTTCTGGTTCACCCCAATTTTTTTTTTTAATTGTACTTTAGGTGAAGGTTTACAGAAAAAATAGTTTCTCATTAAACAGGTCAGTACACATATTGTTTCATGACATTGGTTAACAACCCCACGACATGTCAACATTCTCCCTTCTTGACCTTGGAAGACCTTTTTTTTTTTTTTTGGTGAAAATATACATAGCCAAAGATATACCATTTCAAAAATTTCTACATGTACAATTCAGTGACATCGATTACATTCTTCCAGTTGTGCTGCTATTCTCACTATCCTTTTCCAAATTATTCCATTACCATTCATTGTCTTCAACTCACTGTCCCCTAGGCTTCCCATAAAACCTTTTGAGTTGCTGTTGTCATTTTGTTCTCACATAGATAATATTTTTTTTTGTACTTTAGATGAAAGTTTACAGAACAGAATAGTTTCTCATTAAACAGTTAGTACACATATTGTCCATGACAATGGGTATCAACCCCATGACATGTCAACACTGTCCTTTCTTAACCTTGTGTTCCCTATCACCAGCTTTCCTGTCCCCTCCTGCCTTCGAGTCCTTATCCCTGGACTGCTGTGCTTCATTAATCCTGTTCTATTTTATGGGCCGGTCCAATCCCCAGTTGAACGGTGGTTCACCCAAATTTTTAAAATTCAAGTCTGTTCTGGTTTTGCTTCATTGGCCGTGACTGAACCCGTTTGAAGCCCTGGTGCCCACCCACGGAGTCGACCCACAAAGCAAGAGAGCTGAGCACCTTCAGGCTGAAGCTTACTGGCAGAGTATGGTGTCCTTGGGCACTTATTGGCAGAGCCAAAGAGCTGTGTAACACTTGCCTGACCAGGGCAGAGGCCAGGCCAAGGGGCTGAGCCTGCATGCGGGCAAGGTTGAGAAGAGGCTGTCCTGATCGAAGAGCTGTATCCTGAGTTGGTCCTGATCCTGAATGGTAACCTGTTACTTCCTAATAAACCCCATAACTGTGCGTATCGTCTGTGAGTTCCGTGTGGCCACTGCAACAAATGATCGAACTAAGCAGAGAAGTAGAGAGTGCCGTGGGAGGGACAGCTAGTGTCAGAATTGGTAAAAAGGTTGAAGAAAGGAGGTATGTCTGACCTCCACCTCATAGAAATCAGCCTTGGGCTGCTGCTAATTATTCTCCTCCCTGCTTGTGAAGTTAGAGGAGGTCAGACACCCCTGCCATGCCATTTTTACATCAAGTATCTAATGAATTGACAATAAGATAGGAAAAGGTGCTATTCTGCTAAGTGAAAAAGGTATACGCAAAGTTGAGGTATAGCATTTAATACTATTTAAAAAATTTATTCATATCCTGCCTTAGTTTGGAAAAATAATGTAAGGTGACTGACAAAAACCATACCAGAAAAAGAAATGCAATTTAATATAAATGCTGAATAGAGCAAATAGAAAAAATGAAGGTAGGAAAGATAAACGAAGCTAAGAAATTTGGTTAGTATGCAAAATGCACAGTCATCATCTGTTTGAGGTAGGCCATCTAGGATCTGAACCTTCTCATGGCTAATGTAGAGGTACATAAGTGTCCTGTATAATATGATTCACACTGTCTGTAAGAAGCAAATAGCCACACAGAGGAAGTAAAATTGTTCCTCGGACTGAGGCAGAAAAGAAATTTCTTCTGTAGCTTTTTGTGAAATATTGTGAACAACAGCCTCTATAATGTATTTATGGTAAACAAAGTAACAAATACATAAAGTTTTGTAACATCTTTTATTCATTTGATTCAACCTTTGTTCATTCTATCAACAAACACTGAGTGTCATGTACAACAACTGGTCTCTATTCGCCTGGAGCGAAAGAGGAAGAGAGTCAGGAACAGGAGGAGGATGTGCAATGTGTGGCTAATTGCTTCCAAGAACAACTGCCTCCATTGTCATGAGACCAGAAGAACTGGATGGTGCCTGGCTACCATTACTGAACATTTTGATCAAAGATTCTATAGGAGAATCCTAATCAAAAGGAGGAAAATATGGAAGAGAATTTCAAATTCTCATGGAATCCAGACTTTCTGGATCCACTGACGTTGGATGAACCCCTGAAACTATTGCCCTGAGATAACCTTTAAACTTTAAACCAAATACATTCCCTGCAGTCTTCTTTAAACTAAACAACAGATTAATTAGTAAAGAACACCTGCCTTGAGCGTTATGCTCTTTTAAAGAACTATCTATATGGGGTGAAACTGACAACAGCAACTGGAAATATTAGATAGGAAACTTGAAGGGCAGTGAGTTTGTTAATGGTGGAAGAACAATTCGGAAAAGGAGGGTGAGAATGGTTGCACAACTTCAAGAATGTAATAAATGTCACTGAACTGTACATGTAGAAATTGTTGAATTGGTGTATGTTCTGCTCTGTATATTCTCAACAACAACAAAATAAAATAGTTAAGACCAACAAACATTGAGTGTATACTATGAACCAGCAACTATGACAGGCACAGGGATATAAGCAGTGAACAAAAGCGATAAAATCCCTACTCATGGACGTGATATTCTAGTTAGATGAAACAGAAAATAAACAATAAGTAAAATAAATAAGAAAAATATATTATGTTTCAAATGGTGATATATATTATATATGCTATGATGGAGAAAAATGCAGGGGAAGGAAACAGAGAATAGGAATTTCTATTTTAAAATGGTCAGGGAAGACTTCACTAATACTGACATGAGGGTACCAGGCAAAGAGAATAACAAGTGCAAAGGGCCTGAGAAGGGAGCATGTTTTGTGTTTTTAAGGAACAACAAGTAGGCCAAGTTGGCTGGAGCAAAGTAAACAAGAGGAAAAGAAACAGGAGGTAGATGGGGAGGGGGCGGGGTAGTATAGCAAATTACAGGATATTGTGAGGATTTTGGATTTTATTATGAGTGAAACAGGAAGCTATTAGAGGCTTTTAAGCAGAGAAGAGAACACGAGCTGACTTACACTTATTCAGTAAAGATTTAATTGAGTATTTACAGGCATACTTCATTTTATTGTGCTTCACTTTATTGCACTTTGCAGATATTGCATTTTTTACAAATTGAAGGTTTGTGGCAATCCTGTGTCAAGCAAGTCTACTGGCGCCATTTTTCCAACAGCATGTGCTCACTTTGGGTCTCTGTATCATATTTTGGTAATTCTCACAATATTTCAAACTTTTTCATTATGTCTGTTATGGTGATCTGTGATTATGATCTTTGTGTGTGTGTGTGTGTGTGTGTGTGTGTGTGTGTGTGTGTGCACTTTAGGTGAGAATGTGTCAACATTCTCCCCTTCTCCACCCCAGATTCCTTGTCTCCATTCGTCCAGTTTTCCTGTCCCTTCCTGCCTTCCCATCTTTGCTTTTGGGCTGGTGTGCCCATTTAGTCTTGTATACATGATTGAACTATGAACCACATTCCTCACATGTGTTATTGTTTGCGTTATAGACCCATCTAATCTTTGGCTAAAGGATGGACCTCGGGAATGACTTTGGTACTGAGTTAAAAGGATGTCTGGGGGCCATACTCTTGGGGTTTCTCCAGTCTCTGTCAGACCAGCAAGTAGAGTATTTTTTTTTTTTTTTTCCCTGTGAATTTCAATTTTGTTCTACATTTTTCTCTTGCTCTGTCCGGGA